AGCTTGACATTTGCGCCATAAGCTCTTTACAACGACGACGACGATGGGGCAGGACGACAAAAAAGCAAACTTTGTCTAAATGTTGTCTCATTAAAAAAATGTTCTCATAATTTCCCTCAAATAGAAGAAAATTATATTTCAATGTGGCCTCATTCCCCATTAATGTCGCTGCTGGGGCCTCTGCTTCTGCTGCTGTTCATGTTTTAATGTGTCACATTTAAGTAGGCCCTTAAAAGCATTTGGAGGCTTAATTCCTTGATTATTGTTGCCATTGTCTTTTATTTTATAATTTAATAAATGTGTGTGTGCGCGCTGCCTTAACATATGCAACATTTTATTAATATCTACAAAGGCCTAAACGTATGCTACACGGAATTTGCAAGTTCATAATTTTTAATGGCGATCAAATGGGAGGATGTGTGTATGGTTTTTTTTTTAAGAAATAGCAATAAGCAATATTTTTTTAAGGGTTATCATAGGTGCGGATAATTTTTCACGGCCTATTTTTAGGCGTGGATATTTAAAATTAAATTTTCAAGGCCAATTTATGGGTGTGGATAAAATTTTCAAGGCGGTGAAGAAGATACCCCAGAACCAATAAGAGATAACGGTATAGAGTGTATACCACCTAGCCAAGGTGAGGTCATAAAGGCATTTATTCGACTCAAGAACAATAAAGCAGCAGGAGCCGATGGTTTACCAGCCGAACTATTCAAGACTGGTGGTCAGATGCTGGTAAGAAGCATGCACCACCTGATTAGTACAATGATTGGAACCTCAGCATACTGTGTTCCGTGCACAAAAAGGAGACAAGACGATATGTGCCAACTATAGAGGAAAGGAAGTCTCCATCCCATCCAATGATTGGAACCTCAGCATCCTTTGAGAAGGAGACAAGACGATATGTGCCAACTATAGAGGAATAAGTCTCCTTCCCATCCCATATAAAGTGCTATCCAGCGTACTGTGTGAACGACTGAAGCCAATGGTCAATGACATTATTGAACCATACCAATGCGGCTTCAGACCTGGCAAATCCAGCATTGACCAAATTTTCACTCTGCGCCAAATCCTGGCGAAGACCCACGAAAAACACATCGACACATATTCGTCGACTACAAAGCCGCATTCGATAGCCCTATCCGTTCGGAGGTGTTTAAAGCCATGTCTACGTTCGGCATTCCCGCAAAATTAATACGACTATGCATGATAACTTTAAGTGGGACAATATCAGCAGTTAAAGTCGGAAAGGACATATCGGTGCCCTTCAATACCGAACGAGGATTTAGACAAGGTGACAGTTTGTCATGTGATCTATTTAACATCCTGCTGGAAAAGGTCATACGAGATGCAAAGGTGAACAGAAATGGCACCCTGTACAACGAACAACTCATGTTACTCGCCTATGCCGATGATTTCGATATAATGCGTCGAACATTGCTAGCGGTAACGGCCACCTTTTAACAAATTGAGATTGAGATTCGATAGCCCTATCCGTTCAGAGGTGTTACGGCTATGCAGGATAACTTTAAGTGGCACAAGATCAGTAGTTAAAGTCGGAAAGGACCTCTCGGAAGGACCTCTGGGTCGAACATTGCGAGTGGTAACAGCCACCTTTGAACAAATTGAGAAGGAGGCTGCCAAAGTGGGTCTGGCAGTAAACGGCGAGAAGACCAAGCTGGTGGTATCAAGGCGCACGACGTCCAGCAGACTCGGACCAACTGTGGAACTTGAGAACTACAGCTTCAAGGCAGTTAAGGATTTTATATACCTTGGTACCGCCATAAATAAAACGAATGACATCAGTTTTGAAATTCGGAGAAGGATTGTGATGGCCAACAGATGCTACTATGGTCTAAGTAAGCAGTTTATAAACAAGGCCACCTCCCGCCAGGCCAAACTCACACTCACACAAGACGCTAATACTACCCGTGCTGTTATATGGATCTGAAGCATGGGTACTTGCGCAAGCAGATGAGGCAGCTCTTGAAGTGTATGAGAGAAAAATTCTCCAAAAGATCTATGGGCCGATCTGCATTGACCGCGAATATCGGCGTCGAATGAACCACGAGTTGTACCAGCTATTCTCGGATATCTACATTGTTAGACATATTGAGCTGCAGTGACTACGTTGGGTAGGTCATGTTGTGCGAATGAATGAGAATGCCCCAGCCCAAAAGGCATATAAGATATATAAGCGAGCCTACTGATGCTTCCCGTAGAAGGGGAAGGCCACGAATTAAAGGGAAAGACCAAATAGAAAACAACATCTTTTTAAGCTCGGTTTATGGAACAACCGTTCTGTAACAAGCCAGCTAAGTAATGCATTTATAGGCGTGGTTTTTTTAAAATCCTCAAAAAAATAATTTTATAAATCCACGCCTTGTGTAGGTCCTTGAAAAACTAATTTTATAAATCCATGCCTTGTATAGGTCCTTGAAAAAGTAATTTTATAAATCCACGCCTTGTGTAGGTCCTTGAAAAACTAATTTTAAAAATCCACACCTTATTGTGGTCCTTGGAAAAATAATAATAACCAGTAAGGAAAGTAGTAAAGTCGGACTGGGCCGACTATATGACACCCTTCACCACTCTGGGTATATTATTCATAGTCTCCTAAAAGACATCGCCATTCAAAACAACATTGACATAAAATTGAACTTTTTACATTAAAACGGACGAAAATATATATGGGAGCTATATCTAAATCTGAACCGATTTTCACGAAACTTGGCAGACATCACTCTAGGCTCAATTCAGTACGTTATACCAATTTTCGTGCATATCGAAAGATATTAGGGACTTTAGCGCACCATTTACCTTAAATCGGACGAAAATATTTATGGGAACTATATCTAAATCTGAACCAATTTTCACGAAACTTAACACACATCATTCTCGACTTAATCTATTACGTTATGCCAAATTTCGTGCAAATCGATAGATATATAGGGACTTTGGTGCACAATTTACCTTAAATCGGTTGAAAATATATATGGGTGCTATATCTAAATCTGAACCGATTTTCACGAAACTTGGCAGACACCACTCTAGGCTCAACTCAGTACGTTATGCCAAATTTCGTGCAAATCGAAAGATATATAGGGACTTTGGTGCACCATTTACATTAAATCGGATTAAAATATATATGGGAGCTATATCTAAATCTGAACCGATTTTCACTTAACACACATCATTCTCGGACTAATTCAATACACTTTTCACGAAACTTCGAAGACATCATTCTAGACTTAATTCATTACGCTATGCCAAATTTCGTGCAAATCGAATAACATATAGGGACCATTTACATTAAATCGGACGAAAATATATATGGGAGCTATATCTAAACCTGGACCGATTTTCACGAAACTTTGCAGACATCATTCTAGGCTCAATTCAGTACGTTATGTCAATTTTCGTACAAATCGAAATATATTTAGGGACTTTGGTGCACCATTTACCTTAAATCGGTTGAAATAATATATGGGAGCTATATCTAAATATGAACCTATTTTCGCGAAACTTGGCAGATATAAATCTAGGCTCAATTCAGTACGTCATGCCAAATTTCGTGCAAATATAGGGACTTAGGTGCACCATTTACCTTAAATCGGTTGAAAATATATATGGGAGCTATATTTAAACCTGGACCGATTTTCACGAAACTTGGCAGACATCATTCTAGGCTCAATTCAGTACTTTATACCAATTTTCGTGCATATCGAAAGATATCTAGGGACTTTGGCGCACCATTTACCTTAAATCGGTTGAAAATATATATGGGAGCTATATCTAAATCTGAACCGATTTTTTCCCAATTTCAATAGGGTTCGTCCTTGGGCCAAATAAGTGACCTATGCCAAATTTCATTCAATTCGGATCATAAATGCGACCTGTACTTTGTTTACAATTTAACATGGACAGACGGACGTACGGTCGGACATGCATAAATCGACTCAGAAAGTGATTCTATGCATATTCTCAAAAGGAACCATGTGTCTTATCTCGTTTCCTTTTGTCTGTTACAAACATATGCACAAAGACATAATACCCTGTACCACAGTGTGGTGAAGGGTATAAAAATCTACGCCTGTGTAGGTCCTTGAAAAAATAGTTTTAGAAAATTCACGTCTATAGACAGGCAATGAAAAAAATAATTTAAAAAAATCTACGCCTATGTCTTAAAATACAATTTTTCCATTAATCATAATAATTTGGCCTTAGCAGAAACATTGTCCTTACCTTATGGGTAAGGAGGTTACTGGTAGTCTAATTAAACATTTGATTTATTTGAGTCCAGTGCTTAAGTGCTTACAAGGCTGTAATACAACTAATGTTAATTTAAAGTGGAAGTAATTTATTTAAGCCTTTACATAGTTGCTGTGAACACGAGTTCATAGCTTCCGTTCGGTAGATGGCTCTCCGTGGATGTAGCTATTAAAACTTAATTGTTTTTTAGCTAAGGACAACATTTCCGGTAAAAGGATACATTGTGGGCTATTAAAATCTTTAAATTTAAAATATTGAAAATTACAAAATTTCTATACCTTGAAAGAAAACACAACTCATTGAATTATTGATAGCATTTATTTATTTAAATGTAACAATTAAAATAACATCGAAGTTATTTCTTTAAAACAAGGCATAAAATACTATGAGCAATATAGGTTAACTTCGTACTTTTCAGGTTAGGTCTTGAAGTCAGTGAAATTTATTACTATTTTCATTTACTATTTCTTTGCATTTTATTTAAGAGTATTTGCTATTTGCTTAAAGCTATGCCTATTTGATGTCAAAACAATATGCGGATATCTTCGATATCTCCCATAATTATTATACATCTACCACTAGCCATTAGATACTAATTGAAATTGATATTTTTTATTTTTTACATTTCTTTAAGTCATTTACTAAATAATTATTTTGAAATATAAATTAAAGACGCACACACAACAATTGAATGTTTTTTTTTTTTTTTAATTCGTCTGCCTCCGAATTTACACCTTTTCCAATTCCACAAAACGATTACGTTTATATTGATCCTTATAGCCTTGCACGAAACGCAATCTACCCTCATATTGGGTATCCATTATCGTTTGGACCAATTGTGGATGATCACTGCCCAATTCCATCCACATTTTACCGCCAGGTTTCAAATACAAGCAACCGCAATCGAATACCAAACGAGCAATGCGCAAACCATCTGGACCACCATCCAGGGCGTTGAGGTTTTCATATCTGGAGAAAAGAAAATTAAATGAAATAAATGATTTGAATTTTTTTTAATAAATTTTTCAAAGGACCAGCCTTTGGCGTTGATTTTTTTAAAATTAATTTTTAAGGTTTAGTCTTAGGCGAGGATTTTTATACCCTTCACCACAGTGCGGTACAGGGCATTATGTCTTTGTGCATATGTTTGTAACAGGCAAAAATAATCGAGATAAACCCATGGTTCCTTTTGAGAATCTGCCTAGGATCACTTTCTGAGTCGATTTATGCATGTCCGTCCGTCTGTCCATGTTAAATTGTAAAAAAACGTACAGGTCGCATTTATGATCCGAATTGGATGAAATTTGGCACATCTTATTTGTTTGGCCCAAGGACGAACCCAATTGAAATTGGGCAAAATCGGTTCCGATTTAGATATAACTCCCATATATATATTTTTCGTCCGATTAAGGGTAAATAGTGTACCAAAGTCCCTATATATCTTTTGATTTGCACGAAATTTGGCACAGCGTAATGAATAAGGTCTAGAATGATGTGTGTTAAGTTTCATGAAAATCGGTTTAGATTTAGATATAGCTCCCAAATATATCTTCGTCCGATTTTAGGTAATTGGTGCGCCAAAGACCCTACATACCTTTCGATTTGCACGAAATTTGGCATAGGGTAGTGAATTGCGTCTATTACAATGTGTGCTAAGTTTCATGAAAATCGGTTCAGATTTAGATATAGCTCCCATATATAATTTCACCCGATTTAAGGTAAATGGTGTACCAAAGTCCCTATATATCGTTAGATTTGCACGAAATGATGTGTGCAAAGATTCGTGAAAATCGGTTCAGATTTAGATATAGCTACCAAATATATCTTCGTCCGATTTAAGGTAAATGGTGTACCAAAGTCCCTATATATCTTTCGATTTGCACGAATTTTGATATAGGGTACTGAATTAAGTCTAGAATGATGTTTATAAGCTTCGTGAAAAGAGCCATAGTTAGGCCGAGTGCCACAACGTACTGAAGTAATATAAATTAGTCTCTGGCAAGTTTCCCTGAAAACGGTTCAGATATAGATATATAACAAAAATGCGACGTCTGTTAGGATACATATGTATAATATGCCCAAAGTGGTGAAGGGTATCATATAGATTTAGCCTTAGGCGTGGATTTTTTAAAATTAATTTTTCAATAGGGCCACAATAAGGCGTGGATTTTTTAAAATTAATTTTTCAATAGGGCCACAATAAGGCGTGGATTTTTTGAAATTAATTTTTCAATAGGGCCACAATAAGGCGTGGATTTTTTAAAATTAATTTTTCAATAGGGCCACAATAAGGCGTGGATTTTTTAAAATTAATTTTTCAATAGGGCCACAATAAGGCGTGGATTTTTTAAAATTAATTTTTCAATAGGGCCACAATAAGGCGTGGATTTTTTAAAATTAATTTTTCAATAGGGCCACAATAAGGCGTGGATTTTTTAAAATTAATTTTTCAATAGGGCCACAATAAGGCGTGGATTTTTTAAAATTAATTTTTCAATAGGGCCACAATAAGGCGTGGATTTTTTAAAATTAATTTTTCAATAGGGCCACAATAAGGCGTGGATTTTTTAAAATTTATTTTTCAATAGGGCCACAATAAGGCGTGGATTTTTTAAAATTAATTTTTCAATAGGGCCACAATAAGGCGTGGATTTTTTAAAATTAATTTTTCTACGACTGAGATAGACTTTCAAAATATATTTTTTAAAAATCTACGCCTGAGATAGACTTTCAAAATTTAGTTTTTAAAAATCTACGCCTGAGATAGACTTTCAAAATTTTGTTTTTAAAAATCTACGCCTGGGATAGACTCTCAAAAAATTATTATTTAAAAATCAACGCCTGTGATAGAGTTTCAAAATTGTTTTTTTAAAAAATCCGCGCCTGGGATGGACTTTGACAAATTCTTTTTTAAAAATCCACGCTTGGGATAGACTTGATGTTAGTAGGGACGGACGGATCTTAACAACATTTAGTATAACACACACACAAGCATCTACATAGGTTATGTTGTTACTTTTGGATATTGGATCTTACAATTTCACTTCCGGCTGGAGTAAAGCAAATTCTTCAGTCTTCACATAGGGCGGATTAGAAATGATAAGATCAAATTTCCGTCCATCCAGTTCCTTGGGCAGATAATCATTCTCCGCTGTTGTGTGATTATAGACTTTAAAGCGATCCTGCAAATTCAAACGTTTGGCATTTTCCCAAGCCAAGGCGGTTGCAGCTTTACTACGTTCCACAGCAGTACTCCGGACATTTGGCAGAGCATGCAAAATGGCCAATGACATGGCTCCTGAGCCGCAGCCAACTTCCAACATTTCCAACGGTTCCATTACATTTCGATAGACACTGATAACCTTGGATACAAATTCTTCAGTCTCGGGGCGGGGTATAAATACCGTGGGTGCTGTCTTCAGCGTAATGTCCATAAAGTCCCATTCTCCCACAATGTGTTGCAATGGCATACGGGCACATCTTGCCTCACAGAGGCGTTCAAATTCTTTCAATTGCTCCCTATTGAATTGGACATTGTGATAACTGGTCAAGGTGTTCTAAAGAGGGTGGGTGCATTATTACATAAATCTATCGATAATTAAATTAGCAGGTCCATACTTACGAATTTACGATTTAACACCTTGGCAACGATGCATTTCAAATTGAATTCAATATCACCCACTTCGCTTAATCGTAACTTTTCATCCCAACCTTGTAAGGCCTTGGTCACATCGATTTTTTCCTCGGAGTTATTTTGTGTGGTGGCCAAGGCTGCACTCGGTCTTATTGGCCTAGTGGCCGTCCTGGATATTTGCCTTAATTGTTGGAATATTAATTTGTACATTTTTATGGAATTTTAAGTGATAACTTCTAAGAAAAATTAGAAGTTTACTTCTGAATCTTCAGATATTACCAAAACAGCCAAGTCACAGGGATCAATAGATCGAGAATGGCCACAGTTGGCCAGAGAGCAAAAAATCGAACATGTGTTGGGCTTACAGATGTTTTCGATGAAAGGGTGATATAAGTCGACTATCGATACATCGAAGATATCGATTATCAATTGTTAATTTGAAATGGAGATTTTATACCCTCCACCATAGTATGGAGGGTATATTAATTTTGTCATTCCCTTTGTAACTCATCGAAATATTCATTTCCGATCCTATAAAGTATATATATTCTTGATCGGGGTGAAATTCTAAGACCATTTCCGTCTGTTGTAATCACGCTATCTTCTGAAGGAATTGAGATAGGGTGCTGAAATGTTTCATAGGTTTGTCTTTTGCCTGCAGGCAGGTCAAGTTCGAAGAAGGGATATATCGGTACACGTTTAGGCGTAGCTCCCATATAGCGGTACCCCACAATTTTCGGTATTATAGGTTTCTTGAGTGAGTTTTTCAACCGAATTCGCTGAAATTTGCTTCATGGGGTTCTTACTAGGTACCAAATCTCTCCACAAAAAATTATGAATATAGGTCCATTTTTTCTGGTAGCCCCCATATAAGGGTACCTCCTAATTTTCAGTACTTTTTTCGTTTTTGATCGTATTTTTCCACCGAATTGGCTGCAATTTAGTATATGGACTTCTTAATAGGTACCAAATCTCTCCACAAAAAAAATTATGGATATGGGACAATTTTTTTCGGATAGCCCCCATATAAGGGTACTCCATTTTTCGGTATTTTGGGGTTCTTGAGCGCGTTTTCCAAGCAATTACGCTGCAAGTTGATATTTTGGGGTAGTCCCCATATAACCCCTTTTTATACCCTTCACCACACTGTGGTTCAGGGTATTATGTCTTTGTGCATATGTTTGTAACAGGTAAAATGAAACAAGATAGACACATGGTTCCTTTTGAGAATATGCATAGAATCACTTTCTGAGTCGATTTATGCATGACCGTCCGTCTCTCCGTCTTAAATTCTCTCTCTCCGATGTTAAATTGCAAACAAAGTACAGGTCGCATTTATGATCCGAATTGGATAAAATTTGGCACAGCTCGTTTATTTGGCCCAAGGACGAACCCTGTTGAAATTGGTGAAAATCGGTTCAGATTTAGATATAGCTCCCATATATATTTTCGTCCGATATAGGCATTAATCTTTCAAATTGCACGAAATTTAGCATAGTGTACTGAATTAGGCCCACAATGGTGTGTGCTAAGTTTCGTGAATATCGGCTCAGATTTAAATATAGCTCCCATATATATTCGTCCGATTTAAGTTAAATGGGGCACCAAAGTCCCCATATATCTTTCGATTTGCACGAAATTTGGTATATCGTACTAAATTAAGTCTAGAATGATATGCGGTAAGTTCTGAGAAAATCGGCTCAGATTTAGATATAGCTCCCATATATATTTCGTCCGATTTAAGGTAAATGGGGCGCCAAAGTCCCCATATATCCTTCGATTTGCACGAAATTTGGTATGGCGTACTAAATTAGGTCTAGAATGATGCGCGGTAAGTTCTGAGAAAATGGGCGCAGATTTAGATATAGCTCCCATATATATTTCGTCCGATTTTAGGTAAATAGTGCATCAAAGTCCCTTTGTATCCTTCGATTTGCACGAAATTTGGCATAACGTACTGAATTAAGTATACAACGATGTGTGTTAAATTTCGTGAAAATCGGTTCAGATTTCGATTTAGCTCCCTTATATATTTTCTACCGATTTTATGTAAATGGTGCACCAAAGTCCCTTTGTATCCTTCGATTTACACGAAATTTGGTATGGCGTACTAAATTAAGTCTAGAATGATATCCGGTAAGTTCCGAGAAAATCGGCTCAGATTTAGATATAGCTCCCTTATATATTTCGTTCGATTTTAGGTAAATAGTGCACCAAAGTCCCTTTGTATCCTTCAATTTGCACGAAATTTGGCATAGGGTACTGAATTAAGTATAGAACGATGTGTGTTAAATTTCATGAAAATCGGTTCAGATTTCGATTTAGCTCCCGTATATATATTTTCGTCCGATTTTATGTAAATGGTGCACCAAAGTTCTTATATATCCTTCGATTTCAACGAAATTTCGCATATCGCATTGAACTGAGTCTAGAGTGATGTGTGCGATTTCGGAAAAATCGGTTCAAATTTCGATACAGCTCCCACATATACATATATATGTATATTCGTCCGATTTTACCTAAATGGTGCACCAAACTCCTAATATTTTTTGAAATTTTTACACAACGTATCAAATTGGTTCTAAGACTTTGCTCTGCTGGTAGTTTATGGTCTGGTCCCGTACTGCAAGAATCTACTAGATTTTATTATTTTCTTCGATATCATAAAGGAAAAAAGTGTTATCGGAGCAAAAAATAGTAGATTCTTGCAGTACGGGAACAGACTATTAGTTTCCTTCGAATTGGCAACGCAGTGACATAATTGTATGGTTGGCAATGTAGAGTTTACGTGTGTAGCCTATATCCAAACCTTTTAGAATGAATCGTGGCCGTTTTTACACCTTTGTAAATGATTGAGAATCGGTTTAATGCTGCACTTAAATTTATTTTTTTTTTGGATTTTTGAAGCCCCTTATTTGGACTTATTGCTTTGTTTTTGATATTTTTTTTTTGATTTTTGGAATTTTTAAAAATTCATTGCTTTAAGTTTTTTCATATATATTTTTTTAATGAGTCCTCCATCAACAATTTGTCACCGATATGGTACCAGTCTCCGAGTCACAACCATCACTACCACTGCCACTATTCACCGAGGGTGCAGCATTCCTTTCCCGAATACCCAACCAGGGCAGACGTCGTTCCAATTCCAACCGATATTTCGGATGACTGGCTGCATAAACCCAAGGATCCAAGCAGGACACTAATTTTGCACAACAGCATGGTATCATCGAAGCAAACGGAGTTATCATATAACGATAGTTAAAGGTACCCAACAGCGACACAGTGGCATAGGGGGTCCACGAGAAGACATACATCATATAGATGGTCATTGCGGCCTTGGCAATTCGTATCTCAACACTCATGGCATTTTGATTGGCCGACAGGGATTTAATGTTCATCTTCTTTGCCTGATCGGCCAGCATTTTTTCATGATCCCTTACATGGAGGAATAACTTGGTGTAATAGACGCAGATAATAATCATCGGAATGCAATAGGCCCACACAAACATTGACTGGACAAAATAACGTGTCTCATCATCCTGTGAGAGATAATCAAAAGAGCAGCTGGTCAGGAAACCCTCTGTGGGTAGAAGAGGAAATTTAAATCAAAAATAAATTATGGGGTAATGGGTGGACCCACCTGGTATATAATGTCCCCAAATGTGAAACAAGGGTAACACCGAAAATGGTGTGGTCCATAGCCAGGTCATTGCAATAATTATTATGATTTGTGGGAAATTTAAACGGCCATCTATGGGATTGGAGATGGTTCTGAAAAGAGAAAAATTATGTAAAAATTTCACACCTTGTGTAGACCTTGGAAAAAATTATTTAAAAAATCCACGCCTTGTGTAGACCTTGGAAAAAATTATTTAAAAAATCCACGCCTTGTGTAGACCTTGGAAAAAATTATTTAAAAAATCCACGCCTTGTGTAGACCTTGGAAAAAATTATTTAAAAAATCCACGCCTTGTGTAGACCTTGGAAAAAATTATTTAAAAAATCCACGCCTTGTGTAGACCTTGGAAAAAATTATTTAAAAAATCCACGCCTTGTGTAGACCTTGGAAAAAATTATTTAAAAAATCCACGCCTTGTGTAGACCTTGGAAAAAATTATTTAAAAAATCCACGCCTTGTGTAGACCTTGGAAAAAATTATTTAAAAAATCCACGCCTTGTGTAGACCTTGGAAAAAATTATTTAAAAAATCCACGCCTTGTGTAGACCTTGGAAAAAATTATTTAAAAAATCCACGCCTTGTGTAGACCTCGGAAAAAATTATTTAAAAAATCCACGCCTTGTGTAGACCTCGGAAAAAATTATTTAAAAAATCCACGCCTTGTGTAGACCTCGGAAAAAATTATTTAAAAAATCCACGCCTTGTGTAGACCTCGGAAAAAATTATTTAAAAAATCCACGCCTTGTGTAGACCTCGGAAAAAATTATTTAAAAAATCCACGCCTTGTGTAGACCTTGGAAAAAATTATTTAAAAAGTCCACGCCTAATATCGAAGTTGGAAAACATATATTTAAAAAATCACCCACTTACCTGTACCGATCATAGGCAATAAAGGCATTTGTCACTGCTGCTCCTTGGCCCGATATCCCACCAATCACGGCATAAATATCACAGCCTAATTCACCACCCCAAAAATAACCCAGCACCGCATTAATCATATAATGTGGCATATTCAGGGCCATTATCAAATCGAAAATTGCCAAATTGATAATCAACAAATTTGAGGGGGTGCGTAGATTTTTGGACCTACAAAAATTAATAAAATTATAATTTCTGTGAAATTTAGAAGCCCTCCAAAAACTTACGTTGAAAATATCCACAATACCAAACCATTGCCGAATAGGGAGCACAACAGCATAGCCACAAAGGCCATAAACAAGAAAGCCTGATAATATATCTGTGGGGCAGGGAATGAACGCCAATGTTCATGAATTAAATGTTGATATTCCATGGGGAAGTGCCAGCCCAAATTGGGAGGAGCGGCCACATTTGGCGATGGAAGGGATGAGCTGGAGAAAATTAAAATATTTTTTCAGGCGTTCCAAAATATCTTCGAGATGTTGGATTACCCATTCTGATAATTTGTATACGGTTCTGGTCCTATTGGAACAAATCTTTCCATTGAATCCATTTTTTTATTTTTTTAAGGACACAATTTCCTTCAGTTACTTTTCCCACATGTTTCTTTTCGTTTTGCGCTCAACACTTTTTATATCCCTCAGTATTTAAAATTCCG